GGGGGGATGAAAATGCAAACAATGGTGCAGAGAGTTTGAAAAGGTTAATTGCAAACCTGCAGAAGGAAAATAATAGTCTTAAGGTTGCTAAATAGTGCTTTATTTTGTTGTAAATTTTTTATGATAGTTTTTGTTACTTTGACAATCAACCCTAATACTATGTCACTGCATAGGTGGAGAAAAATGAACTTGAGGGTGCCTTGAAAGTGAGCAGGACCACAAGTGAAATGCAGGTAATCCCGTTTTTGAGAAGAGAATACAATCTTTACTTTTTTTTTTTTTTTTCCTGCAATAGGATGGCATCGTATTTGCTAATCCCTCTTCCTTTGAGTATGGGTGGGGTCATGCGTTTTTACTGTATTAAATATGTTTATGCATGGTAACATAACTCAGTTCTTTGTACTTTGACAGCAATTCTTCTGCTAATTATCAATATTTTAAAATTTTGTGCAGACGGTAGAATCTTCAGAAAGTTTTCCTGGAAAGGAAGAAATGGAGAAATCGTTACAAGAGTTTGATAAAAATTTGAAGGAAACACGTCTTGAAAGGGACAAAGCATTGCAACAATTGTCACGCCTTAAACAGCATCTGTTAGAAAAGGTTACTTGCAATCATTCATTATTTGCATTGTGGTGCATGACAAATGATATTGCATGAAAAATATTTATTATTTCTATTGTGATCCATTTGACTATGAAATTGATGGGATTTTGATTGAGGATATTTTTCAGTGGATTATTCTCTCTAATGCACTCTCATAATTAAATATAATGAGGGGGACAATAGGTAGTGACTGCAGGCTAGCAGAAAATCTAATGACTGTTAATGATAAATGGACCTATGCTTGTTTTTGTATGATATATTCTGCTAGTATATGAACTTTGACACTCCATATCATCTTCAGCAAACATTATATATTCACTATTGTTGAAGAATTTCCAGATTATTATATGACAAAGAGAACTCTTGGGATAGGCTCGGGGGTAGATATAAGATGGGAGTTCTTGAGTACGTTTTGAGGTAGATGTCTCCAGCTTCTAGAGATTGTTCATTATCTGTAAATTGGTAAGAGAGATGAGATGACTGAGACGGGAGGAAAGGGAGTTGGCAAAGACTGCACTAAATCTGGGAGCTCTTGTGGGGTAGAAATAGGACGGAACTTTCAATTGTTCACTATCTGTAATTGGTAAGAGAGATGAGATGACTGAGACGGGAAGAAAGGGAGTTGGTAAAGACGGCACAAAATCTGGGAGCTCTTGTGGGGTAGGAATAGGACAGAACTTTCTATATTTAAATTAAGATGACAGATTTGTAGTTTAATTCTGTGTTGATATATGAATCAGGTTCAAGATGGACCTCTTGTTATTGAGTCTTTATATCTTTATCATGGTTTTATTGTTAAATATTCCTTTCGTAGAAACTTAGAAAAGAACTCCACAACTTTGTTTGCGTAATTCTGTTTACAAGCGTGATTTTATTTAGTGCTTACAATAAGCTGGGTAGTCCGGATGCTGAACTTTTAGCTTGACCACATTGTTTATGTGTACTGTTTTCTATTGCACGGAAAACATTTTTGATGCGTTTTGCATCCAGTACCCCCTAAATGAAATGTCATGCAAAATTAGTGACTTATTTTTCCATATGGCTTATACTTTCTCTAGGAATCTGAAGAGTCTGAAAAAATGGATGAAGACAGCAAAATTATTGAAGAACTCCGAGAAAGTAACGAATATCAAAGAGCTCAAATAATACATTTGGAGAAAGCTTTGAAGCAGGCAATAGCAAATCAGGACCAATTCAAGATGACCAACAACAATGAAATTCAGAAATCAAAGGAAGTTATTGATGATCTAAATAAAAGACTTGAAAGCTGTATGAGCACAATAGATGCCAAAAATGTTGAACTTTTGAATCTTCAAACTGCTCTTGGTCAGTACTATGCTGAAATTGAAGCTAAGGTAATAAATGTTAATTTTGGTTGTGCGCCAATTGTATTAGCAAGGAAGGCATTTGGCATGTTTTGTGTTGATGTACAAAACCCAGATTATTGTTTTGATGCTAGTTTCCTTCTATGTTTAGGAACATTTGGAAGGAGATTTGTCTCGGGCAAGAGAAGAGTCAGCTAAGCTTTCTCGGCTCTTGAAAGTATGATTGCTTTCTTTTCCTTTTTATTTTCAAAATGATTTTGTCTGAGTATGCAATTTCTAATTTGCTTTGTGTTATATAATATTTCTTGCAGTACATTTATTACATTGGTATTCCATCACTGTGATTATGCAAATCATACTCCTTTGTTTGGTTTTTTGAGGATAATCTTATTGACGACAAGAAGAAGAAGATTATTCCTTACATGGTTATATCATATAAAGTTGCATCATTTACACGAATTTAAGCTCTGTATATTCCGATGGTTGCTACTATTTAAGTTCACAATGTTAAACATGCATAAAACTGGAGTCCACCCCGCCCACGGCCCCTCACACCTACACACACACACACACACACACACACACATTCTCTCTCTCACACACACCCCTACACATGCTCTCACACACACACACAGGCACAGGCATACCAGAGTTTAAATGTTTATGATTCTACCAGGAAGCGGATCATCAGGCGGAAGCATCAAAGAAGGAAAAGGAAGAAATTTTGTCCAAGCTTTCACAAGCTGAAAAAATAGTAGTAGATTGGAAAAGCAGAGTAAATAAACTTGAGGAAGACAATGCAAAATTACGCCGAGCTGTTGAGCAGAGCATGACCAGGCTTAATAGGATGTCGGTAGATTCAGATTATCTTGTTGACAGGTTGGTCTGTTTAAACTTTTCAGGTGGCCTTCTATTGGGTTTTAGGTATATAGAGTATTGGTGTTCGTTTGGCCTTCAATTTTCAGTTATGGCTCGTGTTCGTTTGGCCTTCAATTTTCAGTTATGGCTCGTGTTTGTTTGGCCTTCAATTTATAGGCCCCCCTCTTTTATTTCCTTCTTTTTACTTTTTCAGAGAAGTGCTTTCTTTTATTGTCATCAAGGATTATTGGTATTTTTTGTTTACATACTTTATTTATATGCTGTTTCATTAAAAGAGGATTAATGAAGATTGGTTTTGTTCACAGACGCATTGTGATCAAATTACTGGTGACCTACTTCCAGAGAAACCACAGTAAAGAGGTATGAAGATTTCTTTAGACTACCTACGGGGAGGGGCACTACCGAAAATTTTGTACTGTTTTCTTCAGTTTCTGCTGGAATATAATAATTTTTCGTTGGTTAATTCCCTGAAACCAATCAAGTGTTATGCACCAGACACAAGACAATAGTTTTGTGCCCTCTAAGCCTGGTTCTCTCCTTTTATTTTAAGTAACCAGACTCATGTAGTTTTGATGTGGCTCTTCAGGTTCTGGATCTTATGGCTCGCATGCTAGGATTCTCTGACGAAGACAAGCAGAGAATAGGTGTATCTCAAGGTGCAGGCAAAGGTGTTGTTCGTGGAGTTTTCTCTCTGCCTGGGCGCCTTGTTGGGGGAATTTTGGGAGGCAGCTCAGCTGGATTATCTGCAAATGCAGCTGCTGATAACCAGGTACTTTTTTGTCTCCTTTCGATCCAGAGATTAATTGGCATATAGTTTTCTACCTTGCATAAGGCTTTTGTCGATATGTTGTTCTACATTAGTTTTTAAATTCAAATTATTTCTGCATTCATGGACTCTTCCCCTGACTTTGTTCCGTACCAAGTCCAGTCCTTTGCAGATCTGTGGGTTGATTTTCTTCTTAAGGAAACTGAAGAAAGGGAGAAAAGGGAGTTGGCAGACGGTTCAGGCAGATCTGACGAAGATTCATATACAACTCCAAGCAAGGCACACACCGGTCCGGATCCCAACCACAGGACGACAACTAGCGGGTCTGAGCCTGGTTTCTCAAGAAGTAATTTATCACCAGTCCAAAACACAAGTTCCGCACCTTTTGGCGGTAATTTTCAGTCGGAGCATTCGGATTCCGAATTCTCAACAGTTCCTCTCACATGGTCAGAAAGCAATCCATACGCCTCAAGAATGCTTCCTAGATTTTGAAATTGCGGCGGTGTATCTTGTAAGTAATCAAAGGTATAGATCATTGTTTGATTTTGTAGACGCGCAATCTTTGTTCAATCAATTCTTTTTACCCATACCAGTTTGTGCATGGTTGCCTGGTAATTTTAGGTTTGGGGCCTGTTAACTCTCAGACGATTGCAAAACCTAAATACAATGACGGACTTGAAACGATTCAATTTATATCCAAGATCGGCCTGAATCTAATTGGTCACAGATCTTCGGTGAACAATCCTTATTGCCTATTAATAAGCAGTCCTGTTGTTTCAAGGCACCTTGTGCTAAATCCTTACCTCTCTTTTAAGACACACATGGAAATAATCCAGCGCTAAATTACAGTAAGATTGCGAGAAGTTTTGGAAGCTGAATGAATCTTAAAACGTCATTTCGTTCGGTTTTGTACCATTTTTTCCGTTAGATCTAAGTAGTCCAAGATTTTTCTTAGAATATCTATCCAAATCTTCCGAAGTTTTCTTCTCTACCCCTTTAGTCCTGAACCTGTCTCGTAATTGCATCCTCCAGTTGGAGCGTCTACAGATTTTTGTTTTATATGTCCAAACTACCTTAACTGATTTTTTTCTCACATCTACAATTTCGGTTATTCCTACTTTACCTCAAATATGCTTCAATTTCAACTACTCATAATTTACCTCAAATATTCTCATTCCTAATCTTATCATTTCTCGTGTGCCCCACATATCAAACTAGGCATTCTCATCTCCGTTACACTCATTTTATATCTTAAGCTTTAGTGGCATGCACCCATCGCACAATACATCCAATGCACTCTTCCACTTCATTCAAACACCAAAATTTAAATACTTGAACCAAACACCAAAAACTTGCGTACTTGAAACACAAGCAAAATTAACAAACGACCAAAACATCATGCTGACAACCAAAAAGAGAACCAAGCATGAAATAACAAATACACCACAAGTGTTCAAATATTAATCGACAACCCATGTACACGCAGCGTTGAGTAACATAAAGTTGTCATAATTAACATATGGCTCAGGTGCTGTTTAGTGGCTTCCCACGATTACGTATAAGCACAAGAACAAAACCTAATTCTCGAAACTGAAGACCACATGAATATAGTCATTCAAATTACAAATCCAAAACACTTGGAACAGAATGGGAAGCTCAACTATGAAACCTAGAGCTTTGGAACACAACGAAACACCCCCAAGCTTTCTAAGCCCTCTTGTTTTTCAGACCACGCGGAATCTTACTCAAAACCTTGGCATCAAAGACGGCATACTGCTTTTTGAATTCGATTGTTACCTTCTCCGCAAGTGGGTCGATTTTGTCTTCATACTTCTCATAAATGAAGGGCACGGTGTGCAGCAAAACAAAGGCTGTAAAATGAGGGTCATACATTAGTAAGCGAAATTCAGTACAATAATATAAATAGGCATCGAAAGCGCACGCAAGTTTTCCATAGTCCTTACATATGTAAAACAAGGTCAGGAAGTTACACCATTTGCCCACAACGGAAAGAACCCACAGGCCAGCAATAACCTAAAAACAACGGTACATCGTTAAACTAACAATCAAACAAAACCGTACAACAAAATCAACAAAACCTAGGTAAATTAAGGTATGAAACTTAGCATAGCACAAATTCTAAGTGATTATTATTAACCCATGAGACTGACTGAAATTTCTATTGAATAAAAGCAACCAATCTAGTCACCGTAAACCGACTGGGAAGCCTGTATAAAAGGGTTATAGAGATCAAATGTTCTTACAGCAAGGAACTTCTTCAAGTCTTTCCCAGATGCAATACTGTGAAGGAGTGCAAATGCACAGTTGATTACAACTCTCAGCTCAGATGCAACCTGCAGGAATGGTTCTTCAGGAAGACGAACTTCTGGAATACGAGGAGGAGTTCTACACAAGCAAAGTTATTAACCCATCACGCAATGATCCAAACATAACCATATATTACATTAAGATCCAACAAAAGCATCAGACGAAGAAACAATCAAATTGGAAAGGCCGAGCATCTTACTTGTGGATAAAAGTATGGGCATTGGACCAGAGGAACAAGATTGCAAGGGTAGCAATCAAAATGTGGGCAACAAGAGTAAGCAGGTGGTACTGAAGCAACTCAAAAAGGACCCAGACTACGGTGGCTCCGCCGAGAACTCCACCCGAAACCTTCTTGTTTCGCCACAAAAATACATCAGCAGCTGCAACATTTCAGCAATATTAAAATCTGAAATCTAAAGTCTAATGCAATATTAAACAAGGCATCCGAAGATCCAAAACTTAATAAAGTAATTAGTATATTGATCAACTTCGCCGATCGGGACTACCCCGAAAAGACACTGAATAACTTAGCTACTCTGCTTATACGGTAGACCACAACAAATAGATAATCAAAAAGCAAAACTCCAATCGGTTCAGAAATTTTCTCAGCTTCCAAACACAGCTGAAAACCATCTAAAATCCCAGATCAACATACAACCGACACAAATCCACACTTCCTAAAACCCTAAATCACTACTCACACATCAAACATACATATATTCATTTCTAATAATAGGGAAAGTAAAGGCTTCAAGAGAGAGAATAGATGTCCGTACACTTTCCACCGCCGAGCACATGGTGAACCGGCTTCTCCCGGCCGAAAATCCGGAAGACCTTGGCCTTCACAGACTCTGCCTTCTTCTCCGATTTCTCGTCATCTGAGTCGGAAGAAGACGACGAGGAGGAATGGCGATCGCCGCCGTGGATCTTCTCGCCTATCTTCTCCAACAGCGATGGCTCGTGCTCCACCGGCGATCCGGCGTTCTTCTCGTCGGCCATGGCCACCGAAACCGAAAAAGTTCAAAAAAGTACACAAAAAATCACACCGAAAATCTCAGACGAGTGAACCGAAATAATAACACGGACAGTGAGTAGGGTTTTGGGGGTTGGATAAGAGCGTAGATATATAAGGTTGCGGGAAACAAGATCAGATCTGGGCCGTTGATTTTTGTTGATTAGCGCGAGGCTGGAGGTTCGGGTCCGAAACCGGGTGCTTCGGGGGAAATTTGAAATGGTTCTGGTCCACAGTGACCGACCTCGTTTGAAAGGTTGCGAACCACGTGGCGGGGAGCAGTGAGGATATGAGTGGTTTGGACGGTCGGGTGACTTTTTTCCTTTTGGTTTTGGGTGCAGCAATTTTTCGTTGTGCGGAAAATACGATCTGATATATTAAATGTAATAATACAATCAATTTAAATATTTTTTAAAATTTTAACTAATTATATTATACAGTGATATATCAAATCGTCTTCTTGACTTGCGTTAATCTCTCTTTTATAGGTAGGGTTTTCGTGGGGTCCATGACCTTCGTAGGGGGATCCACGTTGGTGTGTGATGTGATGGGAGTAATAGAGATGGATCCAGAATGGGGGTAATATTGACATCAAGATTTATTTTGTAATTTTTTTGTGGTGGGTCGCTTCAAGAAAAAAAGAAAATGGAAAAAATTAATTGATATTTGGTGGTGTTTTAACTTTTAAATGTTGAGGTAAGCTTTTATTTACCTGAAAAAAGGCCTATAATTTTGAGGCTTAGAAAGAAAATGAATTGTAGTCGCAAATATAGTGGAAAGTCTACAAAGAGGAAGAATTAGATAAAATTTTGATACCTAATTCTGAAAAACAATTAATTTTGTCCAATTTTTGTTGGTTAATTATTTAATTGGATTTAAGAGTTTTAAGCGGTAGAGTATTGTATATTTTTCACAAATTTTGGATATATTCAAGATTTTTAGCCCATTTTTTGGAGTTTTAGAAAAGCAACCACTCGAGGAGATTGGAGCTTATTGGGGTTCAAACAATGTTCGAGGGGGCTAAAAAATTATACTATTACCTAACTTAATTCAAACTCCTCAAAAATACTTAATTCTAATTGATTTTTTTTTTTATCTTTAGTCATCACTTGAGGTAACCCCAAAGGATTTAGGTTTTAGGCTTCCACATAAAACTTTCAAAAGTTGTTTTCTTTGGTTTAAACAAAATTCATAGGCATTCTAATTTCTAACACAACTCATATCCTAAATGACGAGACAAGTGTTGTTTATTTATTCTATTCAACTTCATCGTGAACTTATTTATTTACGATTAATATAATCTTTGGAATTTATTTAGTTAAGTACAATAGTTGCATTTCACTTTAGTACTACTACATTGTAAAAAACCGAACTCTTGATTTTTGGGTAAATTACACTAACCACTTTTGAAGTTGAATAAAATTATAAAGACAAAAGAAGGAAGGAAGTTTGAATTTTATTTGTTTCTCACGTGAAGATTTTGAATATAACATCTTCACCTTTACTTATTCATTTCATTTACAGAAAGTATTGATATTTTACACGTGAAAGATGTTATTACTTACGCTCCAAAAATTTCATCGTCACTGTAATGTGACTGTTATTTAACCTTTGTAAAAATGTAGTTATAGATAAATTCGTAATATTGTAAACTTCAGAAGGGGGTCATGCAAATTTACAGTAGCTTCAACTTTTTTGTTGTTTAGATATTTTTTACATATTTGTTGGCTGGCGGAGGGCCCTGGCACTTTAGAATCTTTCGTGGTGGGCCGCTGGAGGAAGGAGCAATCTGAGTCCGTTAAAGAATATGCAGTGACTGCGACCTTCTTTTGAGTCACAGTCACACTGGACAAAGGCTACCTTATTATTTGTAGAGGGACGTAAACAAAGAATAAAGAAATGGGGCTAAACGGTTGGCTGATGGTATTTAATACTACAGTTTAATGATATTTTTTAATTTGTATATAAGAGATTTTATGTTAAATTCTCATTAAAGATGAATTTGAACCGTATTAGTACTCCTTAATGTAGATAATATCGTTTGTTAAAATAAAAAAAATAAAATAAAAAACCAAAAAGAAGTTTGGCTGATAGCCAATTGTAAGGAAGGGCCTGAGGCCCATGGATTAAAAAGGTCCTTCTGCCCCATTTTATCAAAGGCCCTTTTATATATGCAATATCCATGCTCTCATTCTGCTTTGGATTCGTGTTTTTGATCCAAGATGCCGTGAGTAGAAAGTAAAAACTTTTATCTATCACAACAATTCATTATTTGCGTTAATTGTCATCATTATTAAGTTCATCAAATATAGAAGTAATGTCACATCCCGGGTCGGGCGGGACCACTTCCTAGGCCCGACTCCACCGTAGCACGATATTGTCCGCTTTGGGCCCCCAGCATACCCTCACGGTTTTGTTTCTGGGAACTCACACTAGAACTTCCTGATGGATCACCCATCCTGAGAATGCTCTCACGCACTACTTGCTTAAGTTCGGAATTCCCATGGAACCCGAAGCCAGTGAGCTCCCAAAATGCCTTGTGCTAGGTAGGGATAGGAATATACATATAAGGATCACTCCCCTGGGCGATGTGGGATGTCACAAGCAAACAATTAATTTATTTTAATTAATTAAATCATGTCTAGTTTCAACACTAATCACGGGCTTAATTCAATATAAGCAAAGAAATTTGTGCTACAAGAATACAATTTGAGTAGGGGTGTGGCCACGTGATTTATAACCACTCTCACAAAAATATAAGACCCTTTTAACTTAGTACGCTCGACTACATATTAGTCTCATCTAATATGAAAACTATCCTCCTTAGACAGTCCTATGGAAATTTCTGTAGCAACAACTACAACTACAGGTTCCTGCAGGTTTACTGCTAGACAACTATAGCTCAATTTTAGTGTTTTTTTACTTCAACCTGAAATGAGTGGACCCTGTAAAAATACACTTTGAAATTAACTATTGCCTCCAACAATGTAAATTGCCCCGTGGCTGCCCGAACTCCTACCTTCTGTTGGGAAGCAGGGCTGCCTGTTCTATAACATTCTTATTGTACTCAAACACATATGTGAGTTAGGTTAGTTGATCAGCGCAATATCCGCTCTCTAGCATCCAAATTCAAATCCTCTTTTCCATAACTTGGAGTCGTTTAGTAATATCGTATTGTCAAAAGAAACAAAGATGGATTTTGCATAAAATTTTCCCTTCTATGAGAGCAACCTCATCTAACTGTAATGACAATTATAACATCACAATCAAAATCTTAAGCTCATATAAAATCAATAGTAATTATGAGACACATATGATCAATCTGTAATTTACCGGAACGGCCTTCCCGGCTTCTCTAATAGAGCAGAGAAGAAAACTTCCTTATCATCACTTTTATCAAGCTTTGGAACAACAACCCATTTGTGCTTCTTGTACCTCAGCATCTTCAGGGATTCCAAATAATCACTTAAATCCTCCTTCAAACAAAAGAAGCTGTCGATCCACAAGAATCCGCCTGGCCTCAGAACTCTGTCCCAATCATAAAGAACAAAGTCCAGCAGCACGAGATCTATCCATCCGTCTAGAAACCTCGTGGTGTGGATCAAATCAAGGGTGTTATCGAAAAATGGAAGCCGTTGATTTATTGTCAGGTAAAGCGGAACAAGTCCACGCAGCGCTATCATTTCATTGAAAGGTGCTCCAAGATTGATAGTTGCCGAGACTATAGTCACATTGAACTCCCTCATCCTTGCTGCAAAAGTCCCAGTTGCTACGCTGAAATCAAGCCCAATCCTGATCTCCCCGGGCTTGATTTCGAGCACTTCAGGGATGAGAAAATCTACGGTTACATTTGAATTGGAGTCTTCTAGGTTTGCTGGTTGGATCCATCTTGGCATTTCGTGGTCTGCAAGATTGAAGCAATCTGCACATTTGAAGAACCCCCTTCGAGTTTTGTTGCTTGCGAGGCAAGTAAAGTTTTTGCAAATGTAGTTACTCCAGCGGACATTTCTATCATCAGGGAGCTTCCACATGGACTCATGAATTGGAAACGGCATGCTGTATAGCTTTGGGGCTCTGGAAAAGCACCTCCTCCTCGGAAGCGGATCACATCCGTGAATCATCAGCTTCTGAGCCAGCCTCCAGTCATCGTTGCAAATGTCGCCGATATCATAGTCCATGTACTCTTCGAGCTCTTTCTTCATAGCAAAGCAAGCATGGCCGATGCTGGGGAATGTCCCATTGGCTCCCATGAAATTCTGCTTCCCTAATCTGTTCGGCTTGATCTTGACGTACTTTCGAATCTCCTCGGTCAGAAAGTAATTAGCAGGTTCATCGGATTGCTGCTTCGGTTTTAAGAGCGGATGAATGTCTTTGCTCCCATTGTTTACTTTGCGAGCGTCTTCATTCTGTGACAGAGATGTCTGCACTGACTCAAGAAGCCCCAGAACATCAGCAAGAAAGGAACTGTATTTCAACACAAGTCCGTGTGACGCCTCTGGTTCCGAATCTCTTAAATTCTTAACTTGTGTTTGGATTTTCTGGATTACAGTTTCAAGCGTTTTTGTGACATGGCCATCGCTCCTGCTTGGACTCTGATCAGAATTTACGTAACCGCAGAGCGTATCGGTGACGTGAAACGATCCGATAGAGTTAAATTTGGATAAAGTAACAACAGAGATGAGAAGAGCAAAAGCACTTAATGCAAAGATTGAGCTGCGAACTCTTCCTCTCCATGTTCCTAAGTTTTTGAAAACATTTGGTTTCCTCATATCTTTCTGATACAGAAAAAAAAAAAAAAAGCAGCTGTTTGAGAAGTGCTTTTCCACAGTTCACATTTCAACTGTTTTCAAGAAAACGGAATAATCTAAACTGTTGCTTGGTATCTAATTTGAGAAATAAAAAATGTAGGTCAAGGCATGGAGATTGGTGCATTTGTTTTATTTGATCGAAGAGGTTTATGGGCGGATTTCATGAGCACTTTATCAGAATGCAAAAGTCATAGAAGAGCCTTGATCTTTGTTTAACAAAAATATGGGGATCATAAACTACTCCATCCTTCCAATTTCAATATTTTAAGAGAAGTGACTTTATACAAACTCCAGTTTTTAGACTGAATAAGCAAAAGAAAAATTAAAAGAAAACTAATAAAAATGGTATGAAAACTTTGAGTTTTAATGATAAGGACAAAATAAAGGGTAAATGAATAGTACCAGGATTGACTTTTTAGTGTAAAAATATGGTTTCTCATTAAAGTAAACAATACCGTGAACTTTTTGTTAAAACTTCTAAAATTAAAAGGCTAAAAAAAATGAAGGAGTACAAAAGAAAAAAAAACCAAAGAGCGAAAATTCCTATTATATTTGAAAATCACTCTTTCCTATATACAAAGTGGGGACGCAAATTCCACATTTTAAAGAAAGTGGCTTTCATACTCCTGTTTTTTTTTTTCCTGCACTGTTTACTTCTTTTTTTTCTCTTCCTTTGTTGGATTGAACAAATAAAAAGAGAATAAAAAGATGTGAAGAAAGAAATAAGTGCAGAAGGAAAAACGATAGTGTGAAAATCACTATGTTTATTTTAAAACTAATCTTTCCAATACACAAAGTGGGAGGCAAACTCAAATGAAAGCGACTAAGACTTGTGTAATCATTTTAATTGGGATTTAAGAAACAGTGTGAGGTGAGTTAGTCAACATAAGAAGGAAATACAGTTCCATTCCTTAAAAAGCTGATCATTATTCTGGTGTGGTGCGATTAAGAGACATCTGGAGGATGAGCCGGAACAATTAAAATGTATGATTTTGAATCATGACCACCACATGACCTTTGACCTCCCCATGAAATGTATGATTTTTAGCATTAAGACTTGACCATGATTAGCTACCAAGCAAGAAATATAGACGCAACCCTTGGCCGAATGGGGAATGCTTTGCACATGTGACATGACTAGCTTGTCAAGTAGTGTTCAGTTTTTATTTTGTTAGAGGTTGTAAGTTTAAATATCGACCAATGCGTTGCACATGTGACGTGACTAGCTTGTCTAGCAGTGCTCAATTTTTATTTTGTCAGAGGTTGTAAGTTTAAATATCGTGTACGAGAGTTGTTCGTGTTAATTAACATTAAAACAATTCAATTCACCGATTTCACAATCCCAAAAAATTAACATTTCCCAATCTCCCGAAACCAAGCAACAATTCAATATACCCACACTCCATTCAAAATCTAACACAATTCTACAGAAAAAAATAAAACCCAAAATTATATAAAGGAAAAAAACACAGAAATCTAATCATTCAACCAGGGGCAATCAGTCACCCCCTCCATCCCCGATCGGCCGGGTACTGAGACAAAGGCACGACCTCCTGCAACGGAGTCGACAGAGGCGTTGGAAGCGGTGAGTTCCGGCAAACCGGGCACGACCCGTTGAGCCGGAGCCACGCGTCGAGGCACAACAGGTGGAAGTAGTGCCTGCACTCCGGCATCATCCGGAGCATCTCTGCGTCCTTGTAGTCGCACAGGCAGATGGAGCACGTGGACGAATCGGGGATAGCCGCCTCCTTGGAGAACGGGAATTTCGGGTAGGAGTTGATGGCGCTCGGGTGGAGCCCGACGACGGCGTTCTCATCGTCGTCCTGCTGCTCCTGCTCGTTGTCGTCTTCGGCGACGAAAATGATGCGGGGGAGGATGACGCCCTCGGGGTTCGGATTCGGATTGGGGTTTCGGGGCTGAGGAGGGCGGTGGCGGGAGACGCGGCAGCAGAGGTAGGAGGCGAGGAGGAGGGTGGAGAAGAGGACGAGGAAGCCGAGGGAAATGGCGATGCCGTAACCGAGGCCGAGGGTAGTTAGGTAATTATGGGGCGAGTGGGAGGTGGAGTTGGAGGAGAACATTGGAGGAGGGGAGGGGGAAGGGGGGTTTTAGCCATTGGAAGGGGGTGGGGATTTTTTTTTGGGGGTGGGGTGAGAAGGTGGGTGGGTGCTCCTGCTGCTGCATTTAATACTCACAACGTAGACGCATTAAATTGGTGGGAAAATGTGTGAGTGACTACTGCCACCCTTAATTTTGGATTGGGTTTTGTTTTGTGTTTGGGTCTTAGCCCTCCCCACACAATCCCCAACTAGCCCACTAAATAGCAACGTACGATTTTAGGCTTCTTCACCAATAGCCCACACCCCACCGCAACAATTTCATATACACCAAATTCTGAATCCGATGTTGGCGTTATTTAGTAAGAAACTTAAGATACGTCTGTGATTACTTTTGACAAAAGCTAGGGTTGTTTTCTGATGAATGAAAGCATTTCTCAAAAAGTAAAAAACGTTTATGCGTCCTAGGATTGTCTTCACGAAGCACTCCCAAGTTCTTTTTTGAAAAAACACATTAAACTTTTAATAAATTTTTTCCACATGTTTACAATAGAAGCAATTCTAGCATAAGCGCTTATAATGATGTATCTGATGAACAATTATTTTATTGACAAACGTTAGGAATATCTATACTGAATTCATCTAAACTAGTGCTTATAATGATCTATCTGATGAACTATTTTTTTATTGACTAACGTTAGAAAAATCTATACTGAATTCATCTAAACTAGTGCTTATAATGATGTATCTAATGAACAAACTTTTTTTTTTTATCAACAAACAATAGGAAAATCTATACTGAATTCATCTAGATTACGAGGAAAGAGATTCAAACACAGGACTCAAGGACATGAATGAATATTCTCTAGTCTTAACCAATTGAGTTACAAGTCACTTGCGCACCTAATAAACATTTCAGTTATATATATTGTCATGTATACATGTCCGTTCATTAAAAAATTTGTGTTAATATATATGTTATAATTTGGTGAACGGATGTTCCTTGATGTAACAAAGTTGGATTAGGCGGTTCCCGAATCCAGAAATTTGGAAATAATCAAATGGCATTGAGGCAACGTCGGCATCCAAACATAAGTAAATGGATTGATTAGTTTAATTAGAGACGCTTACAGAAGCAAGTCATCACACATACGTTATTATATTTTGTTTATTTTAAAGAGCGAGTTTTGACTTTATATGCATTGGCTATAAAGTATTTGGAAATGAATTTGGCACCTTGAAGCTCCACCACGTCATTTCAAGTGCATGGAGGGCTACGAGGAATCCATTGGCAACTTCTGAGGGCCTATTGAAAATGAGGTCAGAATGCAAGTAGAAACGGTGGAGCAGATGCTCTTCTTATGTCCTTGGGTTGAACCTGTGTGGTTTGGGGGAGTTCTAAATTGCAGAACGATTAGGCAAGAGATCATTACTCTTGATGCCTGGTTTTCGAAGATGATTGAGAGAGATTTTCGAACAAAGAACGAGAACCGGTGATTCTTGACATACATTGCATTCACTTGCTACAGCATTTTTATCTGCCGTGGAAAATATGAAAAGCACGATGTAGTGCGGTGTTAAATGATAAAAAACCCTATTCTATTTCTGTTACAGCATTTTTATCTGCCATGGAATGCACGAGGCCGCAGCATAGGATCGAAAGGGCAAGTAGAATAGTAACAGATCATTGGGTGCCACCTCATTCCCCAAGTCGTAAAGTTAATGCCGATGTTAGCTGGCAAGTGGGTTCCCCGATGACATGGGTGGGTGGTGTGGTTCGCAACCAAGTTGGTGAGTTTGTTGCAGCTCAATGAACAGTTGTGAAGCATCCAGTGCGTTATTAGTGGAGGCAATGGCGGTTTTGGAGGGATGCAAGTTTTCAAATCAGAGAGGTCTCCAACATATCATTGTGGAATCTGACTAAAAGGAAGTTATTGGATGTTTAGAGACAAATTTGGAGGATGGCAACTGGGAGATCTACCCTATTCTGCGTTTGACTGTAGATAGTAAACAGCCTTCCAGGTGTGCAGCAACGTTTTCAGCTTTTGCAGCAGCGTTTTTTTCTCTCTTTCACTGTTTGCTTGTTTCAAGTTTGTTGATCTACTTAGCAGCACTTATCAAATCCAATCAACCCAATTAACACGGCGAGAATCGAAAGCATGCAGAAATTTAGACGCTTTGTATTCACAAATTGAGGGATGCCAATTAAACTGGACTAGTGGAGGTAGAGGGACTAAATTTCCAAAGTAGTTCTAACTCAAAGGAAAACCCTACACAAAAAATCTAAAGAAAATAAATTATCTAAATCTCCAAACTAATTAATGTACCAAAATAAAGCTACGAAGAGTTAAGAGCTTACTGTCATCCACCTACACCAACCACAACAATGCAAGTTCTCTATGCCGCATGATAGGACGCCATGGACATAATAAAGTAATTGAAATTCCATATTTCCTTCTTGTTACCAGAAATCAGCGATTTTGGTTCAGCTTATTAAATTTAAAACCCTAGCTTTCACACCTGACTCGAGGTTTTTGCTACAATAAATCTCCATACACAAATCCCAGTGACAAAAATCTTCAAATTCAGCATAAAGAAAGCAACTTTATTCCCAAATCCTCATCCCTGGGCGTCGGATTTAAGGGAGAAATTAGTAACATTGAAATTACAAGAAAAACGCACAAACAAAAAAAGGGGAAAAGTGAATACTAATAAATAAATAACAACAATAAAAAAAAGAGTAAAATGTTATTTCATTTCATGTTGCAACCGAGTTACAATAACATCAGAAAAACAAAAGATCGATCATGACAGAAACACACAGTGAGATACCGACCGGACATGACAACTAGAAACCCACTACTAAGAAAGCCACATACCACTACGGACCACAACACCAGGTCGACCTACCAAACAACACCACTGGACCCGATGGACCTAAGTTTCAGACGTCTCTACCTCTCCTCCAGCTTCTTCTTCTTGAGTTTGTTTGTTTGTTTTTTTTTTTTTTTTTGTTAGAGTCCTTATCCGCATCAAATATTCCAAATTTTTTTGTTGCGATGGTTGTAAGAGAGCGGGAAATTCACATCCTTTGACAGCATAAAGGCTCACACCCATGACATACACCTCTGAACTCACTACATTTGCTTGGAGTACACCGGGTAAGTGTAGTGAGTTCCGAGGTGTATATAATGTACGTGGGTCTTTAAGCTTTTAAAAGATGAGAATATCCTGCTCCCTTTCGTACAACCATCGCATCAAAAGCTTTGGTACATTTTGGAATTAAAAAATAAACAGTTTTGATAGAGAAACTAATGGCCCTTTTGGATTTGAGTCCAAAGTTTTTAACTAAAAAACAATTTTTAAGTTTTAGGCTAAAAAAATCAGTTTAGTAAGCCTATCACAGAGGATTATCAAATGGTTGGCTTATGGTTTCAACATATCAGATGGAAGCATATTTATAGGGAGACTAATTTCGTGGAGGACGCATTAGCTCATATGGGCCTCATTGACCCTCATTTTTGAGATTATTGTCTTCCAACTTCAGCTATGAAGGCCTTTAATTTTGAATGTATGGGAAATAGTTGTATTAGAAGTTCAAGCTTTAATAAATTTATTCTCCTTCTTCTTTAGAGAAAAAAAAAAAAAAACTCAAAAACAACCCTTTATAATAAAGAACAACAAAAGTCAGATATTAGGGCTTTCTTTCACACGATTCATATTCTCGCGATGAAGGTCTTAATTACCAATCAGAGTGACCAAGAGATTCCAGTCAGTAGGCTGAAGTTTCCACTGAATAGCTTTAAGGCACGAATCTTTGAGTGCTTGATTGAGGATGAGACTGGGCCATTCTCTTCACTGGCAGGAACGATTAAAGTATTGGGGCTTTTTTTTTTTTTTACTGTTTTGTTTGGTTCCTCGGAAAATGGAGGAAAGGATGAGAAAGTTGATTTATGTGATTTGTTTGTTCGGGTTGTCAGAAATTAACTTTATTTGTCTAATTGGTTTGATTCATTTGTGTGTTGTGTATATATGTTGACCTAACTGAGCTCAATTGAGCTCATTTAGTTTGGTAATTAATATCTGTTTATGGACCATAATCACAATTTGTAAATCTAAAAACATTTATGTTTATGTTTTCTGATGTGCCCATGAGGACTGATTTACTGTATATTTTGAAGTTCACTTCTTAAAGCCTTGTCTCCCCCAATATTGCAAACCACCTCTTTAAGCATTGCTACTTTTAATTGTTTTTTTTTTTTTTTTTTTTTTTGTAAAAGTACTACTATAGCTTTTGACATGCATTTTGCATTTAGAATCCTTGTTAGGACTATTGGTTTTAGTTTCAAAATTAATTTTGACTGCCCTAATTAGGACATGCTACCCCTAATTGGATTGTGGTTTTATTTTCCTGGTAGCATGTTTGGAATGTTGTCGAGAGAATAGTTGGGCCAAGTTCAGAAGGGTTGAATGTTTATGATTTCGTTGATAACGGCTATTCTCCTTTCTGTTCTAGATATGTATCCAGGATGGGCTTTCAAACAATGGTTGATATTTTAGATTATGGTTGGATTATTATGAAATGTGATGTTGTTCTTGCTTTTCGTCATCATTCTTTTCTTTGTGTTGCTAAAGAAAGCTTTGTAATCTTGTTTTATAGGTGGGTCTCAAGAGTGTAATGTGAGCTTCTCACCCCCCCCCCCTCCTTTTTTTGTATGTTTATTTACTTGTCTTCCTTGCTAGGAATGATCAAGGTATTGGGATTTTTTCTTACTATTTAATTTGGTTCCTTGGAAAATAGAGGAAAGAATGAGAAAACTGGTTTATGCATTTTGTTTGTTTGGATTGTGAGAAATTGAATTTATTTATCTGATTGTTTGAATTATATTTTGTGTACTCACATGTTATGATTTAAACTAGGCTTTTTAGTGTAAATGGTCCTTGAGATTTGCATAACTCTTCACTTTGGTCCTGAGATTTGAAATCAACAAAGTTGGTCCTTGAGATTGTTCGCTATCAATCATTTTGGTCATTCCATGAAAAGTTATGTTAAATAAGGATCAAAAGTGACAAAAATACCCTCTA